AGCAGGGCTGCTAAGGAAGCTGTCAAGAACACCCAAGAAAAGGGAGCAACACTTTTGTGTGTCGCAGGATGCTGTGGGGCTGGCTGCTAGGCTCATGGACTCTGTGGGGGCTATTGCCAGACCCAAAGACTCTGCGGTGGCTGCTACAAGACCCAGAGACTGTGGGGCTGTTGTGAGGCCACAGCTGAAGTATAGTGTTCAGTTTTGGGCACCTTAAAATAGGATGTGGACAAGTTGGAGAGAGTCCGGTGGAGGGGAACAAAAATGGTTCAGGGGCTGGATGACACGTCTTATGATGACAGACTGAGGAAACTGGACTTACTTAATTTAGAGAAGAGAAATTGAGGGAGGATTTAATAGCAGCCGTCAATTACCTGAAGTGGGGTTTGAAAGAGAATGGACCTAGATTGTTCTCAGTGGCGGCAGATGACAGAAGGAGGAGTAACGGTCTCAAGTTGCAGCAAGGGGAGTTTCGGTTAGGTATTAGGAAGAATTTGTCTCAGTAGGAGGGTAGTAAAACACTAGAACAGGTTACCCAGAGAGGTAGTGGAAGCTCCGTCCTTGGAGGGTTTCAAGACCCGGCTAGACAAAGCTTTGGCTTGGATGATCTAGATGGGGCTGGTTCTGCTTTGAGCAGAGGGTTAGACTAGATGACCTCCTGAGGTCCCTTCCACCCTAAGTTTCTATGAGTCTGTGATTATCTGCCTGACCAGGTTTGTGCTCCAGGACCTTGCTCTTCCTCTGCCTGGCCCTTGAGCCCTGGGATTGGGCCCTATGCCACCCCTATTCTGATGCAGGTGGCATGGGGTTCCAGAGTGCTAGTCTGTGGACTGGTCCCATACTATTCATTTGGCCTATGGAGCCAGAACTGTGAGCACTACTGTTATAAGATGTTTTGTTTTCATAACGTGATGTACATGAGGGCCAGGAACCGTTGGATTTTAGGACTTGTAAGATAAATGGTTGTATGTGAGCACATGGAACTGGACTTGACCTGGGAGGCCTTTTGAATCCTGTTTGCAGTTCCTATTTGTACGTACTGTATCAAACCCATCTTCTTTGAAGTACGTACAATAATTGGGCCTCATTCTTTAAAAGCAGAAGAAGGAATGGGGCACATCCTTAAAAGAGAAGTCTCAGTTCTGGAGGGTTGTGGTATTGTGCTTAAGGTCGGCTACAATATTGTGTGTGCCAACTACTAAACCGGCAGCCAAAGGGACTCCACTCTTTTGGCTATAGCAACATGGCCCAGTGTGAATACTTGCAAAATGGGGGTTGCAGTCCTTGCAAAATAGAAACTGCAGAGACCTAATGGTCCTTCTGCATCTATGCTACTCTTCTGTCAGATGAACAGGCTCTCTTAGGCCTTGTGTTTGCTTTTCCCTTCTTGGTCCCTGAAGAAGAATATTTCTAAACCCAAACCGTAAGTCTGTTTTCTGTTTTCTGCCCAAGGTTTTCATTTGTATCTCTTCTTTCAGATAACTCTCCTTACTGCAAAGTTTGCTATGCTTGCCATTCTGTTGTTTACTTTTTTTTTTTTTTGGTAAAGACCACAAAACCCAGATATTTTCATGTCTTAAGGTAGAGAGACTTCCTTGGAGAGTTGAGGGAATATTGTTGCTTTTCTGGAGAGCTTTATTTGTTGCCATTTTATGACAGATAATTATAAACTTGGCATAATAGGTAGCTGAAAATAATAATGTTGGAAGCACTATCATAAAGCAGTCCGGTGTGAATGTTGGGAAATGAGTTTGTATCGTGTGTCTGAGCCTGAACATTTGCATGATATTTTTGGTCACTACTCTTTTACAAGTTCAGTATCTAAATCAGGTAGATAACAACATGGTCTGCAATCAGAGTAAACCATCTAATGTTTGAAATAGCTGATAAAGCCTCTAGCCACGAACTAGGCCATCTGAGCCCCAGTCAGACTTTGCAAAGAGATCTTATTATAATTTTAATATTTTGAAACAAAAAATAATAAAATTTCAATTTTGAGGGAAGTAGGAGGGGAGGTTTTACTGAAGACAGATTTTCTGATATTTTTGGAGTAGTCATTTCATTACCGATGCCATACTTTTGAGTATAAACACCACACTGATTGGGCTCAGTCTAAATGGGGTCTTTGTGGCTGTTATCATTCAGGCTGGTTTTGACTTCATTTTGGTTTGTGTGCTCCAAGATCATGTATGCTGCACAGAAGTGTTGGCTGCTCAGGTATTTTTCTATTAGCTCAACTTCAAACAGTTAGTTAAAAAAGTGAATGACAACCTTTTCCTTCTGGTGCATTTCCTAGCTGGATATGGAAGTGCCCCACAGACAGTCTCAAACTCATGCTTTCCCCACTGTAACATTGTATGCTGAGAGAGGCTCACAGTATCTGAGGAAGTAAGCTTGGGCTCACAAAAGCTTATACATTTCTGATTTGGTTAATCTGTAAGGTGCACCTCCACCTTGCCTTCTTCATTGCATACGGAGTTACCTAGTCCTTCCTGAGAGGAAGCTTTCCATTTCTGTATTTTGTTTCCAGGACCGATATATGTAGTGTGACATGACGTATTGTCATAAATTTTGCATTATAGTTAAGGCATGATGTAAAAATTTCAAACTATCTAATATTCCATTTTCTGATATTTATTAGGCACTTTGGAGCCTATGGATTCATTAAAACTCAGTGGGACTTAAGCGCTTTTGAGAATTTTATCTTCTGTGATGAAACCTGAGAAGCCGAAGATTGACGAGAGTTAGCCAGTATTATTAGTAATTAGGATGGACAGTATATTTTTTAGAGTTCTAGTAATAAACCATCATTAACACCTTAGATAACTGTATGTTTGGATTAGCGTCCATAGGGTTTTGTTTTTTTATCATATCTATAAGATGAGTCCTGTTAAGAGATTTAAAAAAAAATTAAAACTTAGAAAGAAAGCCAAAGAAATATCTGCTTCTTGAATTAGTTTGAATTTAAAAAAAATTGTGAACAATTTACTCTTAATTGTCTTATGTTTACTCAAATAAGAAAGATATCTTGACATGAAAATATAGATTAAACAGACATGAAATTGCCCAGGTCCAGCGTCTCCTTGGAATAGGCTATTACAGTAGTGCAAAATTAAAATGACAGTTAATATCTATAAATGAACTTTCTCTCTGTGAGGACAATTGCAGACTTCCTTGCTTTAATCTTTCCATAGCAACAGAAGGTCCACAGTCTCCTTTCCATCACATCCTGCCCAAGTGCAAGCTGGCCAGAGACCTCAAGGAGGCTTATGACAGGTAAGTGGAATATTCACTGAGAAGTTGTTTAACCTGTAAATTCTCATGATAACCTTCTGATTTTTATTCTGTTAGTGATAATTAAAGCAAGTAGAGGTTTGGAATAATATACAGATTAACTCTCAGAATAAACTTGAAATATTAGACAGTGCTATTGCTGTCATGGTCTGCAGTGGAGTATTCAGCGGATCATTATCTGTTTCTGAAGACTGTCTTTGTCATTGCTGTAAGAAGTGTATTATTTTTTCTTGGTTGACAAGAGACAGAATAACAACTTATTTGCCAAGAATATCTTCGACAGTAGTTCTTCAAGAAGGCATCACAGACATTCAGTTTTAAGAGTGCCTCAGCCAGAATAGGTATTAATGCCAGAGACTGCACTTGCCTTGATTAGCTACACAGTGGGTGCATCTACACATGAAATTAAGGTGAAGCAATAAACTTCGGAGCTGTTTGAGCTAAGGTAAACTGCTCCTGGACACATTGTCTACATGTGTGCCCAGAAGAGCAGCAATCTGAGCTGGGGCAGAGCAGGCCTGGGCTGGTGGGGGGTACGGGGTATCAGCCCTGGGTTCTGGGTGACAGCATTGAGTGGCGGAGGGGCTGGCTGGGGTACAACGGTGCTGAATCTGCAGAGCCATGTGACTAGGCAGCAGCCAGGAGTCTGGCCGCTACCCAGTCACCGTCTACATGTGTGTTTCAGCATAGTTAATTAGTCCACTTAAGATAGTACTGTCCCCGATAGTACTATCTTATGGCAGAGTTAATTAATTTACTGTACCCTAATACCAGCTCATGTGTAGACAGTGACACTTTACTGTGGGGGTGATTAGTCTATTCTGCAGCAAAGAGCATGTGTAGATGCACCCAGTGGGCACAATTACCCAAGACGCTTTGAGCGCAGTAGAGTAATTTTACTGTGCATTAGCGTGGCAGGCAAAACCCATGCTAATGTGCCAATGCGCATGAGAATTAGCCTACTGCTCAGTACCATCACTTAAAACTAAAGGCAGAATAACCACTGTGAACTAATGCATGTGTAGATGTGCCCAGTATATACAACAAATTATGGATCAATGATATTTTCAATAGCTTGGAAAGTGTAGCCTGTCAAGACCTGACTGCTTAAAGATTTTGGGTGGGATTTCAAAGGTCTTAAAGGAATCGTGTGTTTACGTCCTGTTGAAGGCAGGCGAATAGAAGGAAGAAAGTTTGACCAGTTGTTAGGACAGTGGCCTAGGATTTTGGAGATGTGGCTTGGTATTCATTGCTCTGCCTCAGGCTCCTTATGTATGTGTCTTTGGTCAGGTTACTTTATCTCACTGGCTTTCAGTTCCCCATTTGTAAAAAGGGAAAAAGAAAAGCTTTGAATAACACCTGATGAAGTAGGTTATTGCCCATGCAAACTCATACTTCTCTGAATCAGTCCAGGGGCGGGCAAAGTCTGGCCCGCCAGCTGGATTGGGCCCTCGGTGGACTCCGTTTCCTAGCAGCCCCTGCCTGTGTCACTGCAGCCAGTTTTCATGGAGATCCCAAAAGTGGTGGCACTGTGACAGCGAGGGGCCAGGGTTTCCATGGAGACTGGCCCCAGCAGCACTGGCAGGGCACACGGCTGGGCAGGGAGCTTGCTCCAGGGCTGGGATCTTGTGGCAGTAACAGTGTGGTCCAGAGCTGGGGCAGAGCTGTAAGCTGCTGCCTGCATGTCAGCGCTGCTGGGGCCGGTCTCTGTGGAAGCCCTGGCTCTGCACTGTCACAGCACCACTGCTACTGGGATCTCCATGGAAACAGGCTGCACTGATGCAGGTAGTGGCTGCTGGGACATGGAGTCTGGCCACTGGCCGGATCTGCCATTTTGCCCACCCCTGAGTTAGTATCTAAGGTACTATCCTGACTTCAGGCTTAACACCTCTGGATTGGTGTGAATCTTATGAAATATATGCTTGTTTTTATAGAATAAAACACATTTTCCTGGCCTGGCTTTTGAGAATCAAACATTTCTTGCTTTTTTGTTTTCCTCCTGGATTATTAAAGCTGCTGCTGGATGGTAGAATGCTTTCTGCATAATAGCATAGTGACATCTAGTGACAGAGAACAGTGATTGAGATCAATTTAAATTTTGGACCAAAACATCGTGGTAAGGGAAGACATTATATATCAGTAGTTTATCTTCACTACTCCCAGATCCTAGCAACTGTTTTCCTTTGAAATAAACTTATGCTATGAAAAAAACACATTTTGAATATTGATCTGTCTTTAATTATTTCCATAGTTTGTTTATGGGTAAAAATGTTGCTATACACTATTCTACTTAAAATTGGAATTTTTTTTTATTTTTAAGGGTTTCTTAATAAAGTTCTGTTTGCATTTGTAGTAGAATGTGTTTTATATCATTGTTTCAGCATTACTTCATATTTGGGGCTTTGCAAAGTGATATGTTTTGTATCTGTGTTTGATGAGCCTGAGGCAGCCACTGGCCATACTTTATCATGAGTCATGTAACTATAAACCTAGGTATTAGTAAGGCCATGTCTTAATTTTATATGAATTTCTAATATAGGCTAGAACTTCATGGGTCTGTGCACAATGTAGTAGATAGGGTATGTGCAATTGCATGGCCAGGTTTAGATTCCAGCTTTCCAGTGACCCACTTGGACCAACATTTTCAAAAGTGAGTGCTGATCTTTTTTTGGATACTTAATCTGAGATACCTTGGACTTGATTTACCAGAAATTCTGAACCCCTTTATTCATTTTAATTGGAATGATATGCAAACAAGTATGCTCCCCACTAGATGGCGCTAGAGTATTTCAGGCAACTATAACACACCTAATTACTTCATTCTGTAAAATCAGTCATACATAAAATCTAAACATTTCTCCTAGGTAAAATATCACTTAAGCCCAGATTTTTGTATTGAATGCTTTTACCTTTTAATAATAATATCTATGGTATTGGCAGTATATAATTACAGGTAATTATAAAACTAGTTTCCATCTATTGGTTTTCTTGATCAGGTACAAAGATTGTAAGGATGTTGGACATTCATTTTTCACATAAACAGTAATCTTGGAACAAAAAGCAGTAGCTTTAAGGTTAAGAAATGTCAGCCACAGCTCCTTTCTAAATTGGAGTTTTCATCAATTTTGAAAATAGGTACCCACCATAAAATCTGAACTGCCACCTCAGATAACTGAAAAAACCCACAATCTACCACTGTTAAATCTGTAGCTCTAAAAAGTGGTTTAGCCTGACAGCTGCCCATAGCTTACATTTTTCTTCTTGGAAAACTCCTATCTAAGATTACTTGGATTCTACTATTTTCACCTCTCTGAAGCTGAAAGTTTTCCACTCCCTACCCCATACATAAAGAACCTCCTCATAATTTTTGCAGCTGACTTTTTAAAAATTGCAACAACAGAACAAGAATCAATAAAAACCCATGAGAGAAGTGTGTCATTGGTTTATTAATTTTCTGTATGAGCTTTTTCTCTCAAAATGTCAGATATCCCGACAAGATATGCAGGCTCCTTGGAAACTTAAAGATGTACTGCAGAGAAAAAATTGTTGTATAGATATGCATATCATAAATGACCACAAAGACAAACTGGATATACATTGCCATGGTCTGGCAAAAGAGGCCAGCGTAAGATCTATAGAATTTTGACATCAGCATATAAATGCAGGATGTGCCGTGCTACAGCAATAGAGATTATACTGCATGACGGAGCTCAGTGCATACACCAGCCATAAAAAAAGACAGGTAGTGTATATGGAAGAGGTGTATTTCATTCAAAGTACCATCTAGCCACAGCCTTATATTATCAAGAAAAGACTCCTGACACAAGTCTATAATTGTTTTCCTAACCTAAATAGAATACCTCTATAAACTCACTAGGGGGGACCAGAAGGGTTTGGGGGAGATGCTTTTTCCCCTAGCGCCCGCTGGCATAACAAGGAGTAATGGGCACAAGTTGATGGAGAGGAGGTATAGATTGGACATCCGCAAAAACTACTTCACAGTTAGGGCGGCTAGGAGCTGGAACCAACTTCCAAGGGAGGTGGTGCTGGCCCCTACCCTGGGGGCTGGATGCCTACCTGGCTGGACTCATTTGAGTCCCGTTTTTGTTTTTGGGGTTTTGTTGTTCTCCCGCCCTGGTGGGGGGTCGGGCTAGAAGATCTACTAGGTCCCTTCCGACCCTAAATCTATGAAACTATGAAACCTATAATAAGCATATGTATAGAACATTTTATTTAAAAAGTGAAATGTTTTAAAAAGATGAGTGGGTATAATTAGCCATTTGGCAGATGGAGAAAGAGATATGGAAGTTAAGGCCAACATTTTCAAAGATTCTTTTGTTTTTTGGGTCCCAGCTTGGATTATTTTTTATTTGATTTTCAGAGATGCTGATACTCTGAATTGACTTTAATTGGAGCTGTACATGCGTATAGCCTCTGAAAAGCATTCTCAAGGTCTGTTAGGCAGCTAGAATTAGTGGACACTTTACAACCCATACTCTCTAATGTAGGTAATTAAATTGATTTGGAGTTCAGATATAGTTGGTAAAAGCTCCATATTTCTGAAAGAGGATTGCGTCTCAGTTTCCAAATCATTTAGAATGCCATCTCCTCAGGGCACAACTAGTGCATGAAGTCAGCCGTGCTGTTACTATCTTCCTAATAATAATAATAATAATAATAATATCTCTGTAGCGAGACTTACAAACTAAGTGTGTTTAGATGAACAGTGGATAGAAACTACCTCCTGGAAGCTAGAAAAAGCAACTAGTTTTTGTAGTCTGAAGCTCATTTTGACAAGATTATTGTCCCATGAGTATGCTTTTCATCACTTTACTTGGTTAAAAATGAGGTGCTATCCTGCTAGAAGTGAGAGGGGAGGGAACAAAAGCTGTTTACTGCTACAGGTTACAGTTACCCTTGATGAACATTGTCCTGGGACGCGAGGGACGCAAGAATACTTACCAGCAGCTCAGGAAACAGCACGTGAAGGATGGGAGACAAAATCCGCGTGGCTCGTCAGCTGCCTGTTTATACAGCTGCAGCCGGCCGGTTACATCAGCGCTGAATGCCGGCTGGCATGAATAAAAATGGCGGCGCACGCTGCGGAGCCAATGGAGAGGGAGAGGAGACGGCAACTGATGTCCCTGCAGCTGAGGCAAGCTGGCACACCGGGCCAGAAGAGGAGGAATGTCCGGGATGAGAGTAAGAAGGGAGAAGAGGGTCGTCCAGGTGGCGCTGCGGATGTGGCTGCGGAGGGACACCAGGATCACCCTGTAAAGACCGCAGGGGGTATCCCTGAAGAGATCAGCCCCAGGAGAGAGGGACTGCAAGGGATCCAAGAAAGAGATGCTGCCGAGGAAAGCATCGTCGCTGGACCAAGAGGTGCCTTGGAGTAGGCAGGGAACTGAGTGCCTAGGCATAAGGCAGCCCGTGCCCCAGTGAAGTGTGTGGGGGGGGCAGTTAAAAGGGCAGTACGCCCAGTTTTGTGTTGGAGCGTCCTTTTCAGTTTCTTTTGTGTTTGTTCCTCCCCGAGCTCCAGGGGGCATCTGAAGGTAGTAGACACGCACTGTAGGCCTAGACAGTGTTGGGGAAGGGCCCAAGAGGGACCCGGTCGAGAGTCCTAGGAACGAAATGCCGACCAACTCGACACCGCTACACAGGAGGCGTGAGGCTGGGGTGTAGGGGTGGCAGAGCCCTGAGAGTGACCGCTGGGAGGAACCTTGGGCCAACAAGTGCGCCCAATGAATGACCCCGGACACTGAGGTCATCAAGTCATGGCAGGCGAGCACAGGGTCTGGGAGTCGGCCAGAAGTCACCAGCTCAGGCAACGGCACGAGCCCAAGAGGTGTGTAACATCGATCACCCGGGCGAGAGTGGCATGAGAGCAACTAGTTGAGTCCCGGCGGTGACAAACAAAAGGATTCTTAGCAAGGTGAGGGGAAGGAGTGGTGCCCTATGACATCTTATGGTAAGAGCAGAGGTGCTCAACCTTTGGCCCTCAAAACACCTGAGCCTCAGAGTTCCCCATGGGTTGGGAAATTTGGCAGTAGGGGAAGTGGTAATTGCCAAGCCCCTTACAGCAGGTTGGGGCTGGGCCATGCACCCTTCCCTCGGCAAACCCAGACCTGGGTCCTAATGTGCCTGCCCCAGGTACTGGATCTAGACCACTAGCTAGATCTGGCCTGAGGACAGACCAGGCACTGGCCATCTGGCCTGCCAGGCAGAAAAGGTTGAGCACCACTATGGTAGAGTATTCTACAGTGTGGCTTTGAAAGCCAACTCTCTCAGCTGCCTTTCTTTTATTTTTTGTCTTTGACTGTATGAACAGAGGCTTACATAGTAGGGTGGTGCAGAGTGTAAATAGGCTTATGTTTACACAGGCTTTCATGGCCCTGAATCTAAATGCATCTCTGATTTGGTTAGTTTATAAGGTGGAAATCTATTATATCCTTCTGTCCAAATCTGAAACCTGCTTTGTTTTGATGTATCGAGTGAATAGAAATGGAGAAGCCACAGGTTCTCAAACTTAGTCTCTCTGAAACCTGGGGAGCCCGACCATGGTATGGTATGAGTAATTTTGGAATTCAGAATGTGCTGTATTTCATGGGATTTCACTCTGCATCCCATTAAGACATTTTACCAAATATGCATTATTACACTATGGGTGGATCTTTTGAGGTCCTACTTATCAAGGACAAACAGTGATATTTAAATTGTAGCATTGAAGTCCAAGACAAACTGGGGAGTTTCCAACACTGTGATGTAACCTTGAACATATTCTGAAGGCTTCTGGCTGATGCCTAAATGTGTTACTGAAAAGTATGAAATTGGCTTCCATACTTATTGCCTTACATGTCGGATTAGTTCAATGTATACTTTGAAGTGGATATTTTTAAGTCTGCATGTTGAGCGATGATTAAAGTTTAATCTTTCTGCTTTGGAACAATGTTCAATTTCTGAAGTAAAGCTGTATCTAACATTTACCCAAAGTGAGATTGAAAGAACATGTACTGCAAAAATTCCATTTTTGTTGGGTTTTGTAGAAGCAATCTTTGCAAGCTCTGCATCCCTTTTTGTGTTGTTATGCTTTTGAAATATAACAGTGAGAGAAAGTGGGATAGTCTTTATCTTGAATTAGGTTTTTTGAGGTTAAATGACCATTTGCAGCAATTAGCATGGTACATTTGGGGAACTTTATTGGTTGGTGCCTTCTTTGAACATGGTTTGTTAGAGAAATTATTTACATATAAAACTTTGCTGTTTGGACAATATTATGCAACACAAAAAATGTGAAGAAAAAAATGAGAATCTTTTGAATAACCTGTACCTTTCTGAAGCAGCCAGAGGCAGTATTTTCTAGTAATGAGGATTAAAACACCAGTGCCTGAAGTGGTTTTCAGATTTTGTTTCAGAAACAGTTTTGTGTAAAATACTGACTGATATCAGATGGTGTAGATGGGGCACAAACATTTTTTTTAATTGCATCAACCAGCATAAATGTGTCCCTAGAAATGTCTGTCTGTCTGTCTGTCTCTCTTGCGCACACGCACACGTGTGTGTGGGTATATGCACTTGTATCATGATGAAGAAGGTGGTGAATGCAAGGAAGATAAGGAGAAAATACAAGATTGTCTGAAATGAAGGAAGAGTTTGCAGCCACTTTTGTTATGTCATATGACAGGCAGGAACAGGTCAGTGAGAAACTAAGATAGACGGGTCAGTTTTCTTGTTATGACATGTTTGGTAATGCCTAACATGTAAGATGGACCTTTCTCCCTTCCTCTTTACAATTCAGTGAATGATGGCAGTATTATTGGGCCACATTCATCATTGCTCTGAGCTCCCTTCTGGGGAGTATCCCAGTACAGGAGCCCCGCGCCATCCATGGGAGACCCTTCTCTTCTCCTGGGACATTGGTGATGGCTAGCTAGAGTAAGAGTGGAGGGGCTAGAGCCTTTGCAGTCACTAAGAGAAGGTAATGCTTCATGGGTACTAATTATGGAAGTCCTTACTGCTAGGCATTCCTGTGGTTGTTGCCAGTCCCTGTGGGGAGTGGATGCAATTTCCTCCTCTTATGTTCTTGTTGTGATACCAGCAGAGTAGAGCTGGTCCACTGTTTTCATTAGGGAGATGATATGAGCCTTCATTGACATTTTGTTTTTTTATCTTATTTTAGTCTCTGTACAACGGGAGTGGTACGTTTGCATATCAACAACTGGCTAGAAGTGAGCTTTTGTCTGCCTCATAAAATCCATTACGTTGAAACAAATTTTATACCCCCTGAAGCAATTGAAAGAAGCCTGAAATCTATTCGGTAAATACGTGCTGTCCTTCAGGACTTATGTCTTCCCCCTCCCTTGTCTTGGAGATATACCAGTATTTATGTTTCACTCCATTTGGTTTTAGGACCAATTTTGCTGTATTACTGAAAAATGTTACAGAAATAATGAAGATTTGCTTTTTCTTATGCCCAAATTTGGAAAGTTGAGTTTGGATTGTATCTTTATATGTTAAGTGGTGATAGATCCCATCTGCATTTCCTAAATTATGCTAATGAGTTGAAACTAAACTCTGCTTTGCTCCCTGGCTTCTCTTTGCTTAGATTTTTAAATTATTTTTGTGCATTGACAGTGATTTGATACTGTGAAGTAACTGTATAAACTGTAGAATAGTTCAGTAACCAATGTCTGCATTGTCTAAAATCAGAAGATCTTGTCTTAGAAGTTAAGATATTCTTCATTCAGAATACTATCAAGAAAACACTTCTTTTTAATCCTAGTAATCTTAAAATGATATCTCATCTATGTCAAAGTTCCAGGCATGTCTAAATTCTGTGGAATTGTTATTTCCTGCAATTTTCCTGTTTTTGTTTCCTGCAGTGCTGCAAACATTTAGTCACAAAAATCATATGCTCTCTTACTTGCATTTTTAGTGCCCAGTTCTAATCAGTAGCACAAGTGAGCTAAGTTGTTTCATCTCTGCTTCATTGGTACTGTAATCTGTCCGTCTTGTCTTGTATGCCAACTCAATTCCATTTCTGTTTCTTGCTATTGAGCTGTCCCATTATGATACAAGCTTCAGCCTCCTTTTTACAGAAGACATCATCTTGTGATTTTAAACAAAAATAAGACATTTGTGAATGCTGCTTTGCCAAAACTGTAATATTTAGATATTCTGTTTTGTTAATATTTTGTCCACTTACCACAGCTAAGTCTTCAAGAAAGCAGCAGTTAATAGTGACACATATCCGTTTGTCTTCAGGCCTTACCATGCCTTATTGCTTCTGAATGATGAGAAATTGTTGCTTAGTGAGCTCCCATTGGACTGCTCCCCTGCCCTAGTGAGAGTAATTAAAACTACCTCCGCTGTGAAGAATCTGCAGCAGCTGGCTCAGGATGCTGATTTGGCATTACTACAGGTACCTCTAATTACTGAGCATTTCCTTCTATGTTCCTGTGGTGTTCCTTTAAATCATGGCAGCCTAACTGATGGATAGCCTGAAGAAGTTAATGCACAGCCCACTGCTAGGGGGTGGGGAAGAAACTGCTGCATGCCACTGGTGCAGCCTAGGGAGATGGGGACGGGGGGAGGAAGAGGGGTGCAATGCTCTGCTTTAAACAGACACAGAATGCCATATAAGATTAAAATGTCAGAACTGGGGAGAAGATTGGAAAAATGTGGTAAATAAGGCCTGATTTGGTAGATGATGTTGGTCAGCCTTGGTGCTTTAGCTGATTCCAAAAGAATTGTATCCTGAAGTAGTCATTCAGTCTCCTACCTTATCTTACATTGTTGTTTACTTTAAAAGAGTATACATGTTGATGTCAGTGTAACTTCATAGATGTCTCCATCTGTTCACTGCAACTGGATTTTTTAGTCTACAATGCCGTGTATGGACTTTGTCAGGAGAGAACAGTGGTGCTATTGTCTGTGTCAGCACAATGCATCTAGCCAAATTAATATATTGTATGCATTAAATGATACTATTGCTGTGACACCTAAAGGTTGCAACCAGGCAGGGCACCGTTGTACAAGTAGGACAGGGGTTGGGAACCTATGGCACTTGTGCCAAAGGTGGCATGCAGCATGGTTTTGATTGGCACACAGACTGCTTCCTGCCCCGAGGGGCAGGAAGAGCCGTGCCCAAATTGAGCAGCACATGGCTGCCCTGGACCTGCGTGGGACCTGGCCCCATCACGGTGCTGCCGAAGGCCCTGGCCATGTGCTGCTGGTGGGCCCCAGCCTTGTGTGGGCCCAGCCCCAGCCGCCACCACCACTGTTGCAGGCCCCAGCTCTGCACGGCCCTGGCCTCAGCCCCAGCCCCAGCCCGGTGCCGCCGCTGGTTCCATCCTGGCTGTAGCCCCAGCCCTGTGCTGCCCATGGCTGGGCTCCAGCCCCAGACCCCTGTTGCCGGTGGGCCCTGGCCTGAGCCCCAGCCCCAAGCTGCCCATGGCCCTGGCCACTGCCCCAAAGGGCACAGTGCCGTCATCTGCTGTCTTCCCGGAGCCTGGTGCCGGGAGACAGCCAGGGCCGGGGCGGGGAGGCGGCAGCTGTTTGCAGCCTTCCAGCTGCAGCCGGCCCAGGTTCGAGGTAGCTGCTGATTAGTCATTGAGCCTGGGCTGCTCCTACCAGCCAGCTGGGAGGATGGAAGCCCTGCTGCAAACAGCCCAGGCTACGTGGCTATCAGCAGCTACCCAGAACCTGGGTTGGCTTCAGCCGGGAGGCTACAAACAGCTGCTGCCTCCTGGTCCTGGCCCTGGCCCCAGCCCCAGCCCCAGCCCCAGCTGCCTTCCAGCCCCAGGTCCAGCCCTGGGCTCCTGGGAGGCAGCAGATACTGGTGATGCTTCCCGCTGTGCTGTGCCCTTGCTGCTTCTTCTGCAGAGCAGCGTGTGAAACCCGGCACAGCAGGGGGCGCAGAAAGCTGCCTGCCGCTCCAAGCTCCCCACTGCCCTGGCCACATGTCCCCTGCAGGTGGGGGCAGCAGCGAGGGGCACAACTCTGCATGCTGCCCACGCTGCTCCTGTGCACACAGATGAAGTGTGACCCAGGCAGTGTGGAGCTTGCAGCAGTGGGCAGCTTCCCTGTGCAGCCCCTCTGTGCACTGCTGCTTTGGATCACACGCGCGCTCAGGAGGGCTCAGGGGAGGGCAGCAGGGCTGGAAGCGCAGCATGTGCGAGTGCAGCACAGCGGGGAGCACTGCTGGTATCTGCTGCCTCCCTGGAGCCTGGGGCCGGGTCTGGGGCTGGAAAGCTGCTAGGACCGGGGCTGGAGCAGGGAGGCAGCAGCTGTTTGTAGCCTCCTGGTTGCAGCTGGTCCAGGTTCTGGGTAGCTGCTGATAGCCACGGAGCCTGG